AAAATGTATTTTGATAGTGAGTATAGACATTTTTGTCATTTTCAAAAAATGAATTTCAAGTTATAATGTTGAACTTATAGAATCTTACTGAGTAAGGTATTTAATCAATGAATGGTCATATTCTTAGGAGGGCAAACCTAGCCCCAGAAATCAACTTCTTTGCTCATAGAGTGAGCATATACAGCAGATGTACACAATTTAAATAGCTTTAGCAAAAGAGGGCAAATAGTCTTTCTGGACTAAAGGCACCTAAAAAGAAATAATTTTAGAGAAGTATTCCAACATGCAAAGAATACTATACAGCAAATAGTAAAGGTGTAAAAATATAATCCACTGTTTTAGGTGTCCTATTTCATTGATACCTTACATCAGAGAAATCATTAAAACAAATACACAAATAGGGTTCACATATTTCTTGAATTAGCTCACACAAATTGCAGTATGATTTACAAAAAAAATTGACAATATACAATAACATAACCCAACAAACCATTTTATGGATTAGCATAACATGAGGATCTAATCACTGGCACTAGGCAGTTTAGAAAAGTAGTAGTATATATTGTGTAAAAAGGGCGTGCTGATTTCTTATCTTCACAAATCAGACATAGGCACAATAAGAAGCCATAATGAGATCAATATTGTAAATGCAATATTATGGAAATATGTGTATTTTCATCATATTCACATTCTTTGATGACATAATACAAATTGTCATTTTCCCCTCACTGATCTTTCCAGATACACCTGCAACTGGAAGACATTAGCAATGGATAGGAGAAACAATAGATCCTAATAAATCAAAGCTTGTGATGCAAAATACATACTCTTCAAAAATAGAAGCCACTGACTGGAAATTGTCAAGTTAAACCCATCTACATTGGGGTTATGAAGAATATATATTGTGAATGGCATCAGCAGCCAGAGGATTTGTCATCAGGATAAGAGTTGACAGAAAAGGCTTTATTTAGTCAACATTTAAAGCTTTAAATGACATAATTTAGACTGAAAATTCCACTAGAATTTGTAATTAGATAAATATAAAAAGAAGCGAACAGACTGCACACTTGAAAAATCAAAAAAACAATATTTTCCCTGCAAGATCCTTTAGAATGTATATTGAAACTATTCAAAAGCTTTTATTTGCTAAACATACAACTGGCTGACTATATTAATTTTTGACAATATAATTAACAATATTATGAACACAATATACTAAATATCCCGAGAAGGAAGCAAATTGCTGGATGAAAGTCAACATCAAAACAGTCTTCAAAAAAAAGGGTTTAGAGATTAATAACCTCAAAAACAATAAGTTTATTAGCTTTTGGTGAGCTGACAGAGGAGATTTAAGCTTTGAATGCCTTCCAGCAGCTCCTGCTATTCTAGAGATTTCTAACAGTCTGCTTGGTTTCTATGCTGGAAAAAGAAGGGTGATAACATATTTCCATTTTCTTGTAGTTCTCTCACCTACATGCTATTTCCTGTTGCTTTATAATCAGATGGATACTTAAATTTAAGGGTATGCTGAGGTCTCCCTTAAGTATATCTGAAATTTCTCCACACTAACATCCACTGTTTTCTGAAATCCTGACTCTTACTTATTCCATTTAGTTTGTCACTTCCATGTGTTCCACAAGTAAAATTATATCTATATGTATTAATTAAGTGAAATATAATGAATATAAAATAGTTTATAATGATTTAATAAAATATGTGCAGTTAATTTATCCTGACATCATGCAGGGTAAAAAATTTCTAAACCACAAACCATGCTAACAAACCTCATTAAAAGAGGAGCACTTGCTAAAAGCTTTTTTTAAAAAAATGCTGTAAATATGCTTAACTTTTTAAAACTCAATGTGGTGTGTACTGGATTATTGGATGAATTTTTATGCAATACGAGAAAATCTATAAGCCATAAAGAAGATATTGTTAACTGTAAAGATATCTGAGGTTGTATCTTTCTGAATTATCCTACATTTTAAAGTAATTGTAATTTCTAGCAGCCAAGAAATCTGAACAATATAAAAAGTGAATAATATATGCATATTTTATATAAACAAGTAACAAAATACATACATGATATAACTTTTATCAAGAGGAATAGTCGTGAAAACGGCTGACAGCAAGCAAAACCAGCTTGAGATATACTGCTGTCCAAGAGGTTAAAATAGAAGATACTAAAGATAAACTTCAATTTAATACCTTGCAATAAGATACTAGAACTCAATACATGTTATTTTAGACTGCAAACTTTGAATTGCTATGTAAGCGTATATTCAGACCAGGAAAGAAGAAGAATGTTAAATACAGTGGTACATTTAATGTCCCCACATTCCTGTTAAAAATGAGACTAGCTAACCTAAACAATTCCCATAAACAAAACAAACATTTTATGGTACATTGATGAACAGTATAGCTGGTGCAGGTTACAATACACACACGAAAGACTCCTATCATGCTGCAAGAAAATTTTGCCAGAATACTGTTGCTCAGCATCCAATCTATTGCTCTTTAGCCCAAAGAGCTATATTGTAAATGATGGCCTTCAAATTGCAGCAAGGTTTTGAGTCGCTTCCACCTCAAAACTCCTCACAGGATCTTCTGTCACATCCTAAGAAATTATGGTCAGAAATGACAAAGTGAAAAATTCTGCTGGAAACTGCAAGCCCAGTTGAGTTTTAGGGCAAGTCCTTTGGGTCAGAGCCAAGGAACTGAACTGGTAGCAGGAGAGATTCTTCTGCAGGGATTCCCTGAGCTAAATCTATGCCAAATCTAAATACATAAAGTTGAATAATTTCTATTGCACATAGTTGGCAACATGAATTGCAGAACAAACGTTCTTATATTTGTAAAGATAGTATCTTGAAACTAAGAGAAGCAATTAGACATTCAGCTTAGAACTATATGATATAGATGTAATAACTAGGATTCATCAGGAAGAGTAGAAACTGTATTTAAAGAACATAGGATACTACATTTAACCATTCAACTATTAATTTATCTACTATTTGAATTAAACCAGCTATCCAAGGTTAAAGGTAGGTTTGTCCTTCCTAACTAAATATCAGGAATACAATATTGGCTTTTTTTTCAGAGCTCTGCCTTTTAACAAGTTGTTCTTCAGTATTTCTTTTGGTCACTGCATCTCCACAATGTAAAAATTGGAAATATAATAGGCTACTTGAATTGCTCATATTTGTGAAGTATGACATATCTGCTGTTGCTTAATCTGAAATAATTTCATTTATATTCCCATAAAATACTAAATTCTCTTAAATTCATTCTGGATTGCAATAGTAGTAACTAAAAACCAGTAATTGTCATTGTGTTACTCTACAGAAGTTCAAGATAAATGCAAAATGTCAGCATAGCAGAGTTTCAGTTTCTGGAAAATAATTTGAAATAGGTTTGCAAACTTCTATAGCAAGATATTTTGTTTAGTACTTTGGACAACTGTAGTCCTATGTACCTATGTTCCACTGAGAAAAAATTATTGAGATACACCACCTAGGAAAATAAACCAAATGCAATGCTGAATTTTTGGATTCATGTACTTTTTCATCCCTTATATAGGCTACAAATAAAATGTATGAGTATTATACATGAAAATATTGGGAACTTATTCCAGAAATTAATATTCAAAGTATGAAGAAATAGTTGATACAACTTAGTAAATTGAAAAGGATTATTAGATAGCAGAGCAACAATTATAACTGATAAGAAGGCAATCCATTGACTAGTTTCAGTAGCACCTGTATCCTCTGATTTGTTCCAACCATTAATGTTGCCCTGGAGCTATATTAGAGGCAACCAAGTGAGACGTGGATTAAGAATATTTTATCAAATCATACTACAAAAATAAATTTTCTTTTTAAAATTCTATTTTTTTTTTACAAAAACTCTAAAAACATAGACATATAATGCAAGATTTAAAATATTTATATTGACGTGTGTGACTTACTCATTAAAGTTGACTTACAAATAAAGCAAATGTGAAAGGCAAAGCAGGGCAGTGCAGTATGGTTTACTAACATTTTCATATAGAAAAATAAAGTCTATTGAATTATATTAAATGTCAGATTGGAAGAAATTCGAAGCAAATGTGAAGGTTATATGGTTTGATGTCTGAGTTAATTGCAATCATGACATACAGGCTTGAATGTCAGCTACAAGCACCTGGTTTCTCAATGCATGCTACTCCAATGCATGTTTATTCAGAATTAAGTCTCCGTAAACTAGATCCATGTTTACACCACCATACAGTACTTCAGTACATTACTTCCATTATAATCCCTGTGGATTTTAATTTGTTGTCCCAGAGATTTCAAAGGACCAGCTTTAAATATATCTGCAGTTGAACATTTTGTTCAAAATAATTTACCCTCAAGAGAGAAATGCACAGGACTGCAGATTTTTTTCTTTTCTTTTTTCTTTTGTATGTGCTGTGCAGAAATTCACAAAGGATTCAATGGGAGTTCAGTCCCAAATAAGTGGGAATAGTCTGTAATTTATTAAAGATTCTATACACAGTTGTGCCTTACTAAATCTAACAGGGCTTATTTTGGAGATATTTTCAGGTTGCCATTTTAGTTTATGTATACATATGTGCATGTGTGGGTAAGCAAAATTAAGTGCTCATATATACACACAAGTATATAGGAACACTTATTTTTGTTCTTATTTCATCCTTGACTCTGAAAATGACATATCTGTAATTCATAATTTCCCAAATCATAGAAGTGTAGTATTAGAAAAGAATGTGCAACATTTCATAGATGAAATGTTGTGCAATTGACATAAATTGAGTAGGTGTTAGGAATGATTGCTACGAATTAATTTCTTTAAAATCACCTGTTCCCTTTACCATATGTATATTATTAATATTTGAAGATTAAGTCACAGACACAACAAAAGTTATCATTTCCATCTCTTATTAGGGAAGGAACCTATGGATTATAATAGTCAGATGTATTTGTTTACATTTTTCTCTTAACTTTAGGGTAGAAAGAATCAATAGTTCAATGTCACCCTTTTAAATATTACTTCAACAATATTTCTGAATTCAAGATCAAGAAAATAAACAGCTAAACAAACTACCACCATAACTCCCAGAGGAGAGAGGCACATCAAACTTCAGCACCCAGAAACAGAAATCAAGTCATATTTTGGCAGAGACTCTGAATTCTTCTAATCCATGGTGGCATCGTTCAACGCTAGAAGAAAAAGGCAGCAAAAGTGATCAACAGCTTCTTCATCCTGAAGATTTCCAGACAAATACCAAGCTATAAAGTTTTTGTATTTTGCACTGTATTGACATGCCTAACTGTGTTTTTTTCCCTTGGAGAGGCAGAGCATCATTTTGAAGAACTACATAATTACATGAAGTCTTCAAGAACGTTTTCAGACATACAATGATGCTTTTTACCTTTAACAGTGATCTTATCAAGCTTTGTTTCTCCTTAGGTTAGCCTGATAAAGCCTTACAGTGAATTCATCTCTGTGGAGTTTTGACTGGAGGACACATCAGAATCTGCATTCTCTTTGCATTTCTCCAAGTCATGGAAGTAAGGATGGGCTAAGGCATCATAAGCTGATATTCTCTTCATAGGATTGAATGTCAGACATTTCTGTATAAGATAGAGAAAACAATTAGTAGCAGGCAACATTCTGAAGGATTCAGCAACTCACTTTTTCTACTGCTGACCCAGTGACTTAACAAGAAAAGGCAAAGATTTATTAGATAGTGATCTTTTTTAAGATATAGTCAAAGCTTTTGTCTATATTGTCATCGGCAATTCATGTAATTATGAATGTAAGCATGTAATTATTCTTATTGGGGAAAAAATATGCAGAATCAAGTCCAGGTAATACTTGAAAGAGTATTACCAACAGAAAACCAAAAAATCTTAGATTAGATTGGAAAAATCAATAAATAGTGAGAAAAATCAATAAACTGAATACACGTAGTTCTCAATTTACAATCATTTATTTAACAGCTGTTTGAAGTTGCAATGGTACTGAGAACAGTGACCATCAGTCCACACACTTAAAACCATCACATGACAAAATCCAGGCCATTGGCAACTGGCATATATTTACAACAGTTGAAGAGTCTTGGGTTTCATACGATTGTCATTTTTGATCTTTCCTGGGGACTTCTGACAAAGTCAGTAGAGAAAGCCAGATTCCCTTAATGACAGGAGCAATAAAATCACAAAATTAAGCACAACTCATTTAACAATCATCGTTTAGCGATGAAAATTTCACTCCCAATTGTGATAGCAAGTCAAAGATTGCCTATACCTGTGATGGCGAACCTAGGGCACATGAGCCATTGCCCCAGTTCAGCTCTGCTGTGCATGTGCGCACGCCTCCTCCCAGCCACCTGGTCTTTGGGTCTCAGCCGTGCATCACGGGGGGAGGGGTGCATATGCGGGGGTCATGCATGCACGCGCAGTGTGAAGCGCATGTGCAGGGCATTTTGGGGATACGCATATACACACGCTCTTTGGGCCGAAAAGATTAGCCATCAGTGGCCTATATTTTATCAGGAAAAGTAGAGACTCACTAGGAGTCAAATTCAGCTTGAAGATGACTATACTTTATCATTAACGCTATTAATAAATGTACTAAGAAAAATCCCCAACAAGATCACATCAGTTCTGAAGTATTAGCTGTTATTATACTACCAAAAAAAAGATATATATTCTGCAATTGTATGGGATATTGAATTCATTTGCTCACCAGTTTCTTAGATGATTATGTATATACTGTAAGAGTAATATTTTGTTTCATGCTGTTTCATGCACTTTTCATGCTGTACAGTTACTACCCAAGTTATTAAATTACAATAAATTTTGAATGCGCAATTTGATAGTTTATGTTGATTGATATGATCTCATTATAAGTACTGTAATTATTCTACCTCAGATTTTTTTTGTTAATGTGTATAATTTGATCTGTGAAAAAGAAAATCATTTTGCTGCAACACTTGTTGAATGAAATACAGAGGTAAAATCACGATGCCACTAATAAAGTATCTAAATACTGTTAAATTTTTTCAAATGGAGTATATCCTCTTTTAAAATATTTCTTAGGAAAACTAGACATCATAAAAGTATTCCTTCATTTATATTAACAGAAACCAATAGCAGTCCAAGTTATGGCATTGATATGGTATAGCAGGGGCCTGTTTTAGTCAATCATAATGAAATGATTTAAGAATGCAGAGAGAGGACATTCAGTTATTGATATGATTTTTTTTTTATATAACTAAGCCTATTAATTCAAGAAAGGCTCAAAGGACACCCTAATCTGATCTTTTCAACACCATCTTTTATTCTGTCTCACATTCTCCAAACCCTAATACTACAGGCTGTTTCTGAGAGGGAAGAAAAAGTCCACAGGAGGTTCTAGTAGATGAATGCAGTTATCTATACTCTTTCTATGCCCAAAGATCCACTCCTTTGGGATAACACAGCCTAAAGTTGCCTTTGGCAACACAGGGTTTAATAATAAAAAGTTTAATAATAAAATAAACAAATAAGTAATTTTTTCAGAGTCTCCCTTAAAGTATTTTGTGATTTCTGGGTGTTCTTGGTTTATTCTGTGTAGTGAAGATGAAGTTGTGGTTTTAGATTTGAGATTCTTATCTCATCCCAAAGTTTATATTTGAGGATATTTTTTGATATCTCTCAAGCTCTTTTGGTTTTTATTTGATGCTGTAGAAGACTCTTCCATATTTTTTCTCAGCTCAGCAACAGACAGTTATATATATTCCTGACTTTTTTTGTTCCGTATTAAGCTGCTTATTTCTAAAATTTTACTATGACAGATACTTACAAGCAGCAAGTCTTTGCCCAGTTCATCAATATCTGTTACAAGAAGTTCAATGGGCTGTGGGGATTGAGAAGCAAAAGCATTCCTTGGGAGGGCAACATCAATAGGCCAATCTTCTTCTTCAGGAAGACCAACTACTCTGTATAGAAGATAAAAACAAGCAATTATTCCAGGTAAAACATTCTCACCATGTTTGTTTCAGTATCTGATGATGGTTCTCAATTGTGAATTTTCATTGTTTTATTTAAGAGCTTTCAATACAAAATTGTAGAGGCATCTTACATTAATTGCTTTCTTTTAAAATGACAGCTGAAATAATGAAATGGGGGAATTTAATGCGGGAAGCTCCATTTGCGTGACTTGCACACGTGTACAAAACCATCCCAACCACCCTCCGTTGCCACCGCTGCTGGTTGGTGGAATCAGAAAGCTTGGGGATCATTGTTTTAGAGTATTTTTAAAAATATCACAAATGGTGCCACCATTACATATTTTGGAAATATGTTCTGTGGGACTGAAGTTACCAATAAAAGAGTCTTGTCTTAAATGCCTCTCAAACTCTAATGTTAATGCTGAGTTAGTACATTCTCAAAAGATGATCTCATAGTATTGAAGGTTCGGAGTTGAACTGATGCCCTTTAAATAGTTTAGGAAGAAATATTTGTCTCATGTCCATATTACCTATATGCTTCCCCAGAACATTCAATTATTCTTTATGTTACACTTTTTATTAGAAAATTTTATTTGAAGATTTGGAGCGGGAGCAAATGTAGTTTCTCATAACTGCACAGAAACATTAGTGTGGCTAACACCATTAATATTAAACAAAATTCAGTATACGGTGCACCTTAAAATATAAACAGGGAAATGCTGATTTCCAAATAGTGGAAAAAAATAAAGTGAAACATATGTGGTCATTCATACAATTAAAATTCACTTGAAGTTGTAATTGAGAATTTAAAGAACTCAAAAACTTTATAAAAGACTCTGAAAAAAATGAAAAAGAAACATGGCATCTAACAGATGGAAAGTTGGCTATTTAGCTCTCATTTTACTTCTTCTCAAATGTAATACATAGACTTTATAATGGCAGTTAGTATAATACAAGACACAAGTTACATCTGATGATTTGGAATTAAACACTTACGCACCACAAGGGTGCAGCATCCCTCAGGTTTTAATGATTTCTTTTTTTCTTTTTTGGCTGTGAGATGTACTAATGACATTGTGAAGACACCATCAGTGGAATATTCGTCCTTCGGTAGACAATGTGCCAATCTTGACTACCAAAGAGCCACATGAGGTTTCACTGAACCTTGCCAGTACTGAAGGCAGACTGCAGGATAAACAGGAGTTCTTTGGAACTGTTATATAAGTAGTTGTAAAATTAACATTTATTTGTACCACATAATACTTTCTCTAGAAAGCTCTCTGGAAATAAATTAGAATTTCTGTTTACTTTCATTTTTATAACTGGCTTTATTGATAGAAATTATGTCAATGAAATAAATCTAAGATTAAATACTTTACAAAATTTCACTTATAAAAGTTTAGATCTTAAGCTCGAACGACTACAGTGTAGAGCACAGCGGAGGTGTACTGTTATTAGATTTTTACACAGTGTGTTTATAATTTATATATATTGAATATCCTTAGATCCAAGAAAGTTCATTTTTATTGCATGATGTCCTTGGAATACAGTACTTTGCTTCTATAAATCATCCAAGAGAAATTAAATAGATGGATTTGAATCTGAATTATATATCAATTTGGCACTCTCCAGTTGGACTGGATTACAACTCCCATCACTCCCAGTCATTGGCGTGAAGGAAGTTGCAATCTAAATATCTGGAAATGCCGACCTATATAAGAATATTTGGATATAAATAATGACAATGGCGATAAACTTTATATTGTATCAAATGTAAAAATAAAAAGGTCCATTTCCTTTCTGCATTATATACTGGTTACGTAACTTCATGTACTATAATATTCCTTTGATTAGCATATTCCAATATGTAGAAAATGTGATGAATTCCATCTTAAAATATATGTAGCATTTTCATTTTAAAAAAAGTATAGGGAAACATTTGCACAGTAAGAAAAATCACTATTAGTTTAGAATGCTAGAACCATTGGAGTTTTTTCCTGTATAATCTGTACAATAAGAAATACTCAAATTTGCATTTGCTTTTCCTGATTAATAAATGAATAAATAAATTCTTTTCTATGAAAGTAATTGCATCAAGTATAAACACACAAAACAGGGTATTTTACTCCTACTATTCTTGTCCTTGACATTTACTGACCAGAAATACCATAATATGTCATCTTATTAACAAAAAAACAAAACAAATCAGCAAGGCTGCCATACTTCTTGTATTATAAAAATAGAGTAAATGCATTAAAGCTAGACATAAATGAACTACAGCATAACTGCCAGATTCTGAAAAGGGAAACCATTTGAACCTGATTTTTTAAAAAGTTGCACAGGAAAAACTATTCAGTGCATGACAAATTAACCATATTGATGATTCACATAGCATGATGTAAAGTACAGGAAATGTAAACCAGAACCAACAATTGAAAATATTTAATTCAAAATAAAAATATCTAGAAAATAGATAGGGGTGAGTGTACGTGCGTGCGCACACACACATTTGCATACATATATACACACCATCTTTATCATTTGTACAAATAACTTAAGGCAGCAAAAATATCCAAGGCAACTTCCTATTTCTGTTTTCCCCACAACAACAATCCAGTGAGGTGGTTTGGGTTGCGAGAAAGTGACTGGCCCAGAATCTTCCAGCTAGCTCTCATGGCTAAAGAGAACTCAATGGTCTGCTTTTTAGCTTAGTGCCTTTTTAGCACTAGCCCAGAGATCAAAAACTTTAAACACTCAAAGACCCATTTGGACCCGTTTCCCACAGAAAAAAACAAACAAATACAGAGCTACAAAACCCTTCCTGTACCTGTTTCCCAAATGCCACCTCATCTAATCCTATAAGGGAATCCATACATAAAAGTGAACCTCTGCATTCATACGGTTTACTTGACCAGAAACCAGAATACTTAATTGAATATACTACCTCATTCACAGCATTGCTTTATGTATATTGATACACAGATGAAAATCTGAATGCAGTATAGAATTGATTTGTATTTGATTTTTGTATTTGACATTTTTGAAATTATGAAGGATCTCTAAGAATAAGCATGACTTTTAATATTTATAGGATTCATCACTTCAACAATACTGGCAATACTTTAAAAATTAAAACTTATTAAAAAGTTAAACAAAGCAGAAACGTTTAGCGGCCTCCATATACTCAGACTTTAATACAAAGTCTTGCTGAAGAAAGGTTGAGAAAGGAAGATCTAATTTTCTCCACTGAAGCATACACTGGGTTGGCTAAGTTAATTGTATGTAGTTCCCATTGAAAACAATGGAAATTATTTTTGTCTAATCATATTTCACTGCTATCAGTGGGACTTACATACATCTTATTCCAGATCCAATAATCTTGGAATACCTACATTGTAAGTCAGTTTAGAAGCAGTAATCTGGATTCTTGTGTAACAAAATAAGTGAATACTGTATACTTATTAAACAAAACAAATGACCTTGACAAAAAATGGCAAATGACCTTGACAAAAATGCAAGAAGTTAGTACTTACTCAAAGATTTTTCCTAGCTGATCAACATCAGAGTTTCCACGGAAAAGCGGCCTAAAACAAAAAAGAAAGCACACACATTTTCAATACAGTAATTAAAATATATTTTAAGATCACCCATCTAACTTTTTCCCATGTTTTCCCAATACTAATTATTTTAGTTTCTTCAATTTCTCACTGCCCCAAAGCACACATTTTGAACCTCATCCAATGCACCCTGCTCCCAGAGTTCAGTACTGAACTTTTAGACAGCTGCTTCTCAGCCAACTTCTACCACCTGGTGAAAATTAGTAGATTCACCGATGCAAAAAAAAATATTCTTGTTTATTATAATCCCTCTAAAGAAAATGTTATGGAGTTGTTTTTTTTAAAAAAAGAAAGGTTATCTGCTTTATGTATTTCTCTGTGACAATACAAATACTTTGGGTGAATATGAGATGCTAATTGCAGACATTGATAGTTTGATATTAGTATATATGAACCATCCTTGTATTTTTCTGTAATTGATGGATATTGGTTACTGAAACCATAGGCACAAAACTCGGGGTTAATTTGAGAAAACTCCCTAAATTCTGCAGTTAAGAAAGCCCTTTTATTAAATTGGCAATTTTGCAAGACTCATACCAGTTCTTGAAGAATTATTAATCCTGAGCCAGTCATGAATAACAAAGCATTTTCCACAGATTAACTCATTGGAAACCACCTCACAGCATGACAAAATCTAGCAAATATGTTACATCGGAAAGGGAAATTCATGTTTAGCAAAGAAACATTTCTAATCCAAACAACTCTGCAGAGCCATGAGAGCAACTCTAAAACTGCCATTACAGCAGCCTCAAATTCTGGTCCAAAAGGCAGATATGGAAACCAAAAGAAATTAACCTCCAAAGTCAAATGCCGGGTAGCAATGTGCCATAAGAGTTCCAAAATTCTGTATGAGAAGACATTTGGGAAAAATAAAACATCACCAGCTTACTTAGATATCTTGATTAAACATCTCCTTGTGATATATATCTCTGGAACTTTGTTTTTATTTCTTTCAAAGAATGCCCAGAACCTATATCATTATAGTTTGGGATATATAGAACAACTCAAAATCCAAAGGCTAAGAAAACACTTCTCTATAAAAATGTGTAATTCAAAAGTTTATAAAAGTAACCTTTTTACTGAGAAATAACAGTTCTCACTTGCCAGAGTATTGAAGAAGCATGCTGCTAAGCAGCAAGGTCAAATAAGTAGGTTTATTCCATCACCATCCCGCCCCATTTAGAAAAAAGGTGGGAGTGGGGGAAGAAAGAAGTAAGTGACCATGTTAAGAAAAGACATAACACCATTAATGAGTTGATGAAATCAGAAGGAATGTAGAATATATATAACAGCATGGCTTCTACATTCCTTATATGTATATGTGTTTTCTTAAGTTTTATATGTTTTATATGTTTTCTTAAGTTTTCGCGGGTACTTACATGTATGGCCTTCAGCTTTGTTCGGGTATTTTCCCACGTCATTATAGTTGTGCTTTTAAAGTTGTAGCAACGTTTCAGCAGAATCTCATCTGCCATCATCAGGCTTCTGTGTTGTGTCCGTCTGTG